AGTCCCTCTGCTGCTTAATCTGGGGAAAGGATGTGTAGGTTTTCACACAGGAGAGGCTTAGGCTTTGTAATGCTCAGCTTTAAGGCTGTAGTGGTTGCTGCAAGAGGTAGGACTGGGAGCTCTGATCCTACTCATCTTCTGTGTTGGATGTTTACAGATCAGGAGGAGCGAACAAAAGCCATTGAGGCCTTCCGAGATGGAAAGAAGGATGTTCTGGTTGCCACTGATGTCGCTTCTAAGGGCTTGGACTTCCCTGCCATCCAGCACGTCATCAACTACGACATGCCAGAGGAGATTGAGAACTATGGTGGGGAATGGGGCCAACAGAGGCACTGAGGGAGAGTAACTGGGTGGCTACAGACCAGGAGGGCTGTGCACCCATCTTGGTGGTCACTGGAACAGGAGTGTCATGTTGCATTTGTCCAAGCCTGATGCTGTCTGTTTCTTTGCAGTTCACCGTATTGGGCGTACAGGTCGCTCAGGCAACACTGGTATTGCCACCACCTTCATCAACAAAGCCTGTGGTGAGAAACAGCGTGGGATGGGGGGGAGCCTGTGGGGTGGCCTGCAGCTGTTTGATGCAGCTGGACAAAGAGCTGCTTCTGCTTGGGTGTGGGTGGTGTTCCCATGCAAGCAGGGAAAAGTGATTATGGTTCACAGAGAGGAGGTGCTGACATGGGGCATTGTCACCACTTGGGTGCTGGCCTCAGGGCCCTGCACGTCATTCTTTGCCACTCTTATGTTGGGCTTCTGCTAGGACTCTATCTGATCTGCGTCTCTGCCCCCAGATGAGTCAGTGCTCATGGACTTGAAGGCTCTGCTCCTGGAGGCAAAGCAGAAGGTGCCCCCTGTGCTCCAGGTGCTGCACTGTGGCGATGAGACCATGCTGGACATCGGAGGTGAGGGACCCTATGCTGGGATGGGGAACTTTTGTGGGACTCTTTGAGCGACATGGGCTGCAGACAGAGTCCCAGCTCCCATTGCTTCAGACTCATGGGGTGGCTTCTGTCTCCCTGCCTGCTGGGTGCCTGCTTTGTCAACTGGCCTGGCACACAGCTCAGCCTGATCTCCTTCTTCCCATTGCAGGTGAGCGGGGCTGTGCCTTTTGTGGTGGCCTGGGCCATCGCATCACTGACTGTCCTAAACTGGAGGCGATGCAGACCAAGCAAGTCAGCAACATTGGCCGCAAGGACTACCTAGCCCACAGCTCTATGGACTTCTAGCCTGGGGACTGTGCTGTTCAGTGCTCCCCTGCACAGGCCAGGAGAAGAGGAGGTTGGCTGCTTCTCTTTGACCTGGGGTTCACATTCCAAAACCCAGACCAACCTTGTACCAGAAGACTCTCCTGCACTTCTGTGTCCTGTTTTTTGTGACTGTCAACAGCTCAGCCTTCCTGAGCTCCTGCCCTAGATGAAAATGCGTGGAGCTGTGCTGCAGCAGCCCAGTACATCAGTGTCATACTGCTGTGAGGTGCTGGGTAGGCAGCAAGTGGTGGGGGAAACTCTCTAGGTGGGGTGACTGGTTTGTGACTGGTGGGCTGCTGCCCATGCCTAGGGACTTCTATCCAGCCCCTCCAAAGCCTCACAGTCTCCTTCCTCTCACCTTGATCTGTGCATCCTCAGCTGTTCCTGTTAACACCAGCAGTGCTGTGGTGCAGCCAGGGCTAAGCCGAGCACACCATGCTTATGTCAGGTTGTCCCCTGAGAGCTGCCTGTGCTCTCGCAGTCTTCGTTCTGCCCCGCTGCAAGGGGTGGGCGGATGGACACCTCCTGTGGCCCAGCCTTTGCCTCTCATCCCACACACCAAAAAGGGGAAGTCTCAGAGAGAAGGAAGTCTGCCCCATGCAGTTGCTTTGGCTGAAGCAGTCACATTTCTGTGCTGCCAGCAGCCCGAGCCCCAGAGCCCTGTGTTCACTGCAGGGGCAGTGCTGGGCCCATGGAGAGACCAGTGAAGGATGGCATCCTCTATGTACAGCACTGCAAATTTGGAAAGGTAAAGGGCAGAGGGTGGATTTGTGGCTGGATATAGGGTTTGTACTGTTAGCGTGCTGCTTGGTCTGGGCCTGAGCCCCCCAGCATCTGGGAAGGGTGTGAGCAGAGTGGGACCTCTTTGGGCTCCAGGTTTAGTGCTGGTACTCTCCCACTGCTGAGGGACCCATCTGTGCTTTGTGAATGCGCTAGCTTGTGCTCACCCCTGTGGGCTGTGACCTTGCTTGGTCATTGCGTGATGTGCAATGAAACAATAAAGGTGTGTTACTGAGGCACAGTTCTGTGTGTGTGTGAACGGGGCAGGAGGTGGGTTGCTGGGTTGAACCTGGTCCTGGGGCAGTGCTGTGGGAGAAGCGATGACTTTGTGTGCTTGGATCTGTGGGTACATCATGGGTGACATCATGGCAGCCCCTGGAGCTGCGTGTTCACAGATTGCCTCCTGCTAGCCTTCTCATGGCGCACAGTGCTCTGTGCTCACTGTGCAGGGCTACCTATGATCTGCTAACAGAACAGCTCCCACCTTGGTACTCTGCAAGAGCTAAGTCCTAGAGCTGAAGCGTGCAGCCCCCATGTGCATGGGGCTGATGCTCTGCCATGTGGGAGGCCGATGGGTGTTTTGGGTGCTCTGCCACATCTGTTTTCCAGGGCGGAGGCTCTGCTGTGCACTTGAGGTAAGTGGGGGCTTGCAGCCCCTCCATCTCGTGATGGGCTGGGAAGGGACGGGTGCTGCAGAGCCTCCCCTGGGAGGAAGTAGGCTGCAAGCTGCAGGGCCTGGCTGTGTGCAGCAGATGCGAGCTGCCAGGAGCAGCACAGCAGCTCAAAATGGCTTTCATTTGCATGGCAGTCCAGAATCAGAGCAGCTTTCTGTGCCCTGTCACAGTGAGCAGCCTCATAGGCAGAGACCCTTGTGCACCCATTCCCAAGCCACGTGTAGCAGACAGCTCCCTGCTGTCACTTTTTCTCCGTATCCATACCCTTCCTTCATTCCAGCGGACCTGGAGGAAGATGCGAGCACAGCTCTTTGCTGCCAGCCCCTTTGGTGTGGCCCGCATGGAGAAGTTTGATGCACGGGATGACGGCACAGTGCCTGACACCTCCCTGCGGCGCTGCGCCCGCCGTGTCATCCGCCTGTCTGACTGTGTCTCCGTTGGCCCCATGGGCCCTGAGAACTGCCCCAAAGCCACTGCCGCTTTCTACCTCACCACCACGGAGAAGAACTATGTGCTGGCAGCTGAGCAGCGGGATGAGTGGATCGAGCAGCTCTGCCAGCTGGCCTTTCAGGTACGCCCAGCATCTTCCTGCTGCTCCAGGCAAGGAGAATGAGGGTGCTGGGGGGGGCCATATTCACCTCCCTCTGTTCCAGGTCAAAAAGGAAGCAGCACAGAGTAGCAGCACCGGGCTGCAACCCATCCCTATGGAGGAGAACTGCCTCTACTCCTCGTGGCAGGATCGTATGTGCTGCAGTGGGGCCCGTAGGGTTGGGGGGGGGGGCTTTCTACTGGGTGTGCAGCAGGACTGACCTCACTCTGCTCCCACAGTGACGGAGTTCCCAGTGCTGGTGCTGAAGACGGAGGCAGCCGTCCGCTGCGAGCTGCACGGGCACTACGTGCTGGCAGCCCTGCCCCAGAGCCTGACGCTGAAGGATGCGCAGTCCCAGCAGCCCCTGCTCACCTGGCCCTACCCGTTCCTCCGCAAATTTGGCCAAGATCAGGTAGGTGCACCCTCCCCAGGGCCTCCACCTGCCCGTGGCAGGTGCCAGCCCCTCACCCTGCCCTCTGTCCCAGCAGAACATCTTCTCCTTTGAGGCCGGCCGCCGCAGCGACTCAGGCGAGGGCACTTTCACCTTCAGCACCCCGCGGGCCCCAGAGCTGTGCCGGGCCGTGGCCGCCGCCATCGCCTGTCAGCAGCAGGGCCAGGAGAGCCCCCAGCTGTCAGCCCCAGGCCTCAGTAACCAACCCTGGGGCGCAGAGGCTGAAGACCCCCAGCACAGCCCAGCGCTGGGGCGGGTGCAGCCGGCCTCGCGCTCGGCCTCGCATCCGTCACCCAACCTTCTCCACTTCCCCCCCGTGGAGCCGGAGGCTGCTGGCCCTATACTGTATGCCTCCATCGCACGGGGCCAGCAGCCCCACCTCGGGCCGTGCCCTGGGCAGCCGCTCCCCGAGCATCTCTATGAGAACATCTTCACGGCCCAGCCTCGGCCTCCGGCGGAGGAGGAGGAGGAGGAGGAAGGGCGCTGGGAGCTGGGCTGTCGCCAGGCCCCCGAGGGCCACAGCAGCGAGGCCGCCGTTCCCTACCCCGCCCGCAGCGCCCCGCAGCCCCACAGACAGCGCTGGGGGCCGGGCGGAAGCAGAGGAGAAGCGGAGGAACACTCCAGGCCGAAGCCTCAGCGCACCCTCCGGGCCAAACTGGTGCGGCTGCTGAGTCGGGACGGCCCCGGCGCGCGGGACTGGCCGTGAGCGCGAATAAAGGCCGTGCTCCGCCCGACCCCGGGACCGCGCCCGGCCGCCAGGGGGCGCCGTAACTCCCTCCGCCATTGGTGTAACCGAGCGGCGGCTCCGCCCCGCCCCGCTCCTCTATAAGCTCGCGCCGGCCGGGGAGGGGGCGGTGCCCGAGTTCGAGTCCCGCAGCCGCCTGCTTCGCTCGCCCGTTGCGGAGCGACCCGCTCGGCCCGCATCGCCGGGCGACCCTGCCCCGCCGCGGGTGGGTGAGTGCGGGCGGGACCGCGGGGAGGAGCGGGGACCGGGGCTGAGTCCTGGGTCTGGGGGAGGGGGGCGAAGGCGATTGCTCGGGTCAGGGGAAAAGGAGGCTGCGTGGGGCGGGTGGGGCAGGCTGGGCAGGGAGCCCCCGTGGGGCAAGGCTGGAGCGGGGGTCGGGGCGTGGCTGTGCCCCGCGGTACGCGGTGACCCCACGGGACGTGGCTCTGCCCATCCTTTGGTAGAGGGCGCAGCCTCCGCTGGAGGGGGCTTCTATCTCGCCTTCCCCC